TTTATTTGCCTGTATGTGCCCTGAACGATTGCGATTTCAGCGTGTTTATAATAATGACAGAAAATTACGAATAAATTGCCGTTTAATGTCCAATTTGGATTATGGTAATTTTCTATTGAAATGTGAGTAAAGTTATATGAAGCAACTGGAAAATTATGTGGATATTTTTGTCACAAATACAAACAATAGCAAAAACTCAGTACCGTGAAGTATCTAATATCTTCCAATTTATTTATTTTCCGATTTATGGTTTATTTTTGATTGCGTTATGTGTCATAATATTTATAATGTTGTGACCTAAACTGACCCGAAAAGAGGGAAAGTTACTTAATATTAAGTCAATAATATGAATTTATTATAATATATTCTTTGAAGATAATATTTAAAATATAAATGCTTTTAAGTATTTGTATTTTGAATAATTATGAATAATAAGGGTAGATAATAAAGTACTTAATGCAATTATTTTCTATAATAATTTCTCCAGAAACAAAATTTTATTGAAATTTAACAATTATAAATAAAAATATAATTAATTAATTCAGTTATTCTACAGCTGATTTATGTTTTCACATCAAGTGAATTTGTTAATAAAAACTTTCACAGCAACTTAACAAAACTCAACAAAAATGTGCAAACATAAAAGTCAAGTACGGCTTTAGGTCAGTTGGTTAAGGAGCGCTGACTCTGAACTTCAATTTTGGCAGGGCACGATTTCGATTCCTGGTACTTGCAGTCTCAAAAAAATGATTTATTAATAATTAAATACAAAAATTATTTCCTAGATCACTGATGATGTGTGGTATTTGGCAATACTCGAAACAGCTGTATGGTCAGCTAAAAATTCATTTAATTGAAAATAATTAAAAATTTTTGTTGTTGTAGTTCACTACTTTTTGAAAATCTTTTTATATAATAATTTCTTAAATTTATTTAACAAGAAATTATTTTGTTCTTCTTTTCGCTATAATTATTCTTCACTTTTCTATAGCAAATTACTGAAGCATTCGTCAAAGTGTTCATAAATGTCACTCTTCATTAGTAGGTGACTAGCGGTGTAGATCAATGCGCGTTTGTATTGGAACGAAATTATAAATTTTGAAAAGGACAACGCCATGGGCAAAGCGTATCCTACGCGAACCGGTGTTTCCATTTTCAGTTATTGAACGCGTTAGACTTTCGCACCCGAGTCTGCTGTTCACCCGATTTTGGCACGTTTGGTAAATATTTGAACACGTTCGCCGGTCGAAGTTGCATAGAATCCGCTGAAGTGGTGAGATTAAAAAGAACTTTTGCACCAAAGAGCGTTGGCCTTTGAGCGCTTCTAGTACCAATTTTCCATTGCATTGACAAGCGCTAAATTATGTTTATATACATAATTGAAATGAAAACAAGGAACACAGATTTGCATTTAGTTTTTCATTAAAAAGATACACATATAATAAAGTTCAAAGTAGTTCCTCAAGTATCAAGTAAAAATTGCTTCAAATCGCTTTAATAATTTAGTAAAAATTAGTTTTAATTTTCGTAAATCGTGCCGTGCATGAATTTATTTAACATTTTCTTTTCAAAAACAAAAAAAAAATAATAAGTAAATATAATTTACTTACATATAATTAATTGTTCACTAAATAATTTATGTTACATTAGCAAAAATTATTTTCTTTTAATTTTGTTTATTTGTAATTTGCTCCATAATTTAGTAGACGAAATTTGAACCTTGGTAATGTTTCCTTTTAATTGCATGTTTTTGATTTCGTGTTTATTTTGGTTTTTCCTGCCACAACTTCTATTTTTCCCCTTCTATTTCGATGTTAATACTTGTGGTATCCTTTGCAAAATTATTTTCCGGATACATGCGATTAGTTCTACTGTAATTTTAGATTATTTCGTTTCGAATTTGTACTGACCAGGAGCAATGTTTCCTTGCTTTTGGCTTTTCGTGCGCATTTTTTAGTATTGAATTCGCAGTTCATTATTTTTAATTTAATTTTTATTTTTGTATAAGTCGTGCAACAAGTTAATTAAATCTAATAATGTCAAGTAAATATTTATGAATCTCAATCTTTTTGCTAAACAATGTAAACTTCATTTAAGCTTTGAACATTGCATGCACACTTAGCGAATAATAATTTTTACTCACGAGATCCTTAAAAATTTATCAGAATTTAAGTATAAATAAAGAAAATAATAATAATTATTTGCAAAAATGTTTTCATATAGTTTCTATTTTAAGTTTATATTTTAAGTTAGAAATTTCAAGTGATAAAAATAAGAAAAAATTGCTATAAATAACAATAATATAAAACAGAAATTATTGGAAAAACACTTTTGCTACTCTTAACACTCATATCGTGTGTATATTAATCGAGAGTAGGAATTAAAATTGTGGTCTAACGAAACACAACTCTATAACAATGCTTGATCTTTTCTGCTACCTATCCGCCTACCTACCTACCACTCTAAACGAACCGAAGATACTCAGTTATTCGAATAAAGAGCAATATGAGATGGAGATTAAAAACTTGCATTTTAAATAGACGGATTGAGATGGATCCACTCTTCTCTTATTCCAGATCAAAGTGGTATAATCATAGTGAATATAACAAGAGAACCCATCTGCTTTCAATCCGAGCCAATCTTGTATAATCTAAGTTGGACCCATATGTCAATGTCAATGTCTCAATGTTATTTAACGTAACATTCTATGCTTTGACGGTCTAATATTACTGTGTTCAAAAACATGTGTATTAGTACAATGCGTCCATCAACGAAATTGAGAAATTTCCATTGAAATCAAATGGATTCCGTGGAAATTTGATTAGAAATTTCCGCGGGTACCAATTAAGAAATGCGTACAGACATGACTTCCGACTTGGTTTACTCTTTGGGTCGTAGCGCAACTCCAGGCAAAATGAATGATGAATGATGCATTCTTCCCGCGTAAGTTTGCGTATCAACCACAGCCACTACGAGTCCAACCACAAGTGGTCATTGATTCCAAGTCGTTTTGTGTCCTGGGTGTCCAGCACTGCGTCCAGTGTCGTTATGAGAAGAAGTGGCGAGATCGCACAACTCTGCCTTACACCACTAGATGATGGAATTGAACCGCTCAGCACACCATTGTGTAATACTCTGCATATTTGACGATTTGAAATGGGATACCTCTAGATTCAAGCACCTTTCACACGTATTCGTGTTTTAACGCATCGAATGCTTTTTCAAAATCGATAAAGGTGAGATATAGATTGGTGTTGAGTTCTGCCGACTGATCAATAACTCTTCTTATAGTGTTTATGCGATCTATGCATGACAGATCAGAGCGAAACCCTACTTGATTCTGCCGGAGTAGATTATTAAGTGGCTCAATGATGCGGTTTAAAGTTATCTTCGTGAATATTTTGTTTATAGTTGGCAGCAAAGATATACCTTTCTAATTAGAGCATTTTTGGTTTTAATAAAGAATATAATAGTTGTTATCGTATATCATGAATATAGTATAATTTATAAATATGGCTTTGCAACTCTTTAATATGGACTGGTCTATTAATAATGTGAAATGAAGCAATGACATGTTTAGACATCCGCATGTAAGAAAGTTATTATTTGGATTGATTTGAGATATATACTGAAATTGATTGGACTTTGAAATTGATTGTTCTTCAAGGACCTTATGTCAAAAGAGTTTTATTATTGTTTTTTTTTATTATTTATTTATGTATTATTTATAAATTATTTTATTATCCATTTCTTTATAATTTATTTTTACAACTATAAATAGAGATGATGTTAATTTGTGGAACGTTGTACTCTTATAAGAAAAATTTTTACTGTCTTTGAAAATCATCATTGAAGTCATATTAAAATTGAAATACCAATATCTCAGATTCCTTCAAGTGTGTAATATTTTGTATTAGTTGAGTAAACAATGTATTGTTGCCATAAAATCTTAGATGCAAAAGAAAAAATTTAAATACAAAAAGCAAAAAGTTAAACAAGCGACAAACTTCTTAAAGACTCAGACATAAAAATAAATAAATTTTCTTTTAAAAGAATTAATAAAACGAAAAGAAAAAGTGAAACCCACATTAGAACTTTGAACTTGTGATGCTTTTGAAGTTAACAGAACGCGAATAAAAAGTTTGTTTTTCAAAAATACTCGTATATTGCCTGTGTACCGATATGTAAGCGAACAGGATTTTCGAAAGGATATGGCACAACAGCAATAACAACAACGACAGCAGGGGCTCTGAAAAAGCTCACAATAAAAATTACACGCCAGCAGCAAAACTGAACCGGGGCTGAGTGGCAGCAAGCCACGCGTTGCTTTAACCGATTTTACTGCTTTGAGTAAATTTGTTTGGTGCAACAGCGAATATTCTAAGACAAAAAAAAAAGAAATCAAGCCAGTTATATGGTAACATGTGATGAGCTACATAATTGTATATATGTTATAT